TAGGTCAGCGCTGGCTGCAACGGCGCCGCTCTTTACTCACCTGTGGCGGCAGCTCCACCCAAGGGTAGGTGGTAGGTGGCAGAGCTTCAGCTGCTTGCTGTCTGACTCACCAGACAGCAGCTCCGTAAGGTTGCCCAGCCTGCCTGTCTCCTCTTCCTCTCTAGAATAATGCTGCCCATATTACCACATGCCAGGGATCAGCCTGGCATATAATATGGATGCCTTCAAATTTTTATGCTCAGAGAGTGGTTAATTCTTTATTGAAAGAAATGGAGGCTTTGCGTTTTTCAGCGAGAGAGCTGTTGATATAGGCTGTTTGACTCGAGTAAGTGGCTGAATGTTGGAATAAAGTTGACACTAGGACTGCTTTAACCTTGATGATTTTCCCTTCATTTTACGTACCGTCTGAATACACCAGAGGACTGGCAAGGCTGACATACTTATTTACTGCACATCATTTTTTGATGTTGATTTCTGTTAAGACAGTTACCATCAAGCTGGCCCTCTTGACTGTCTCTGTTCTAAGAAACCTTGTTGATGTAGTGCAAAAATCCAAAGTTTGGACTGTGTGGGAGGAAAATACATTTTAAACTCTGGTAACTCTCATTGTTTGTCTTAGCCTTTTGTGTGAAAACCATTTCTGCACTGCTCATTATCCTAAAGTACATGCAACAGTAATAGTCCTTCCAGCCGTACTGATTGGTATTCTACTTTCTCCTTCATAGCATTAATGATGAATCTTTGTTCTTGGGTCTGAGCACACATTAATGAGAGCTAGTGGGAACTAGCTCTGGATGGTAGCACACAATGTTTCCATTTGGTAAATTGATGCAGTTGTCCAAATACTTGGAAATTACTGTGATGGTTTATAGAATCCCATAGCCTTAAACAAGATGATATCACGTTCTTGTACTAGTGCAACTTGGGCAACAACATAACCATGTGCAACAGTGTTCTCACAAAGACCGGGCAGTAAAAACTAGTGGACAAAATATTTTGCTTTTTGTTCATACAACTAAGAATGGATTTTCCTCTATTTCAGACATACCCGTCATGTGTCAACATCCATGTCTGTGTTGTCTTGCGATGATAAAAGAGAAGGATAGGGAGCAATGCACTTCACGTTGACATAAGTGGCATTGACATGAACGTAGTGTTCCCCGATAAAAGTGGAGAAGATTGTTGATATTTTTGAAACAAGTTCAGAAAATGCTGGACGCATCTCAGGTTTTGGATGCCAGCACTTCAGCATGACTTCATACCTGCCATTCAAATAAAAGAAGTGTTCAATTAGGAAATCACGTAAAAAGAAAAAAACGACCTCTCTTTCCTCCCTTATAGTAAGTCTCACTTACTATAATATTAGAATCAGCAGCATTTGCAGAAGGCTTTGCAAGCTATTTACTTACAGTGGGTCAGGGCAGTATTCAGGTTGTAGCAGCCTTCTTCCTTGTAGTAAGTAAACAGTTATATCAAAAGAATTTACATCAGGATAAGGTGGTGCCCCTCTTGTCATAAGTTCCCATAACAACACACCAAAGGACCACTAAGAAAACAAAGAAATAATAAGTTCTAGAGTCGGAGGGCTTTCCATTCCAGTTTCAGAAGATAGTTTGACAGATTTAAGCATTCAAATGCATGGATTTCCCCTTTGAAAAGTTATTTTACTGCATTCGGCTTTCTTTTAAGTGGGCTAATAAATGCTGTAGGGACTTGAGGAGCCACTTAAATTAGAGCTGGAGAAACTCAACTAAGTAAATGAAAGAAAATAAAAGCCTATAGGCCTGCTGCTTAGCTGGTATAAATTGGCAGACCTCTTTTGAGGTTAATGGAGCTCTGCCAATTTACATGAGCTGATGATCTGACTAACCCTGTGTAAAAACGTACTGAAGAGAATATACATGGTGAAAATTCTATGCATCACAGGCTAATTTGAATCTGGATTGAAAGGAGAGCTAAAATATAAAGTGATCCAGCCAACTAATGACTTCATCTTATAATTTTTTCTTCATAAACGGCCAGGTAATATTTGAGATTGCTGTAGGCACTCAGTAAGCATTTATAAAGCAAATAAAGTATTTTTGAGAACTATTAAATTTTACAAGTCTCAAAATTAACCTGTTTCATCAAGCTTTCCAGAGCCCCTCCTATAGCAGGGTTCAGCTCCAGCTTGGCTTCTTGGAATGTCCTTAGTTTTCTTTGGAGTGGGATTAAACTCTTAATTCTTTTCTGAGCAGTAATAGATAATCAGGTCAACAACTTGTTGCTTTGTGATTGGGACAAATACCCTTTCTGGATGTAGAAACAGTCTTTTATTCTTATATGAATGTAAGTTTTGGGTTGGAATTAGCCCATTCATTAAATACTAGAGAGATTCCTCAGGCAATACAAGATGAATTAATAAGTGATACAAATATGTTTGTACATTACCACATCTGACTTTGTTGTGAACTTCTGAGTTTGTAAACTTTCTAAAGCCATCCATTTCACTGGCAGTTTAGCTCCTGTTTTGTTGTGCACGCTGTAGTATTCTTTATCATAGACATCTCTAGCGAGACCAAAATCAGCAACCTTGACAGTGAATTTTTCATCCAACCTAGAGAAATGACAAAAAGTATTATCTGCAACTGAGCAGGCAAGATTTACAGTGGTGGTGGATTATAATGAGTGACTTGCATTTTTGAGACCGTGACTTTGGAAGGCAGTACTTTATCTTGCATCTATTGACTAATGTTAACAGTGAAACAAAAAGTGTGTTTGACACCCATTTAACACAGTGAATGAACTCAGGAAATTACTGATATTGTTTTGATAATAAAATTTGAACAATTGGTCCGTATGAAAAAATTTTTGTTAGTAGCCTGTACATCCTGATTGAGTGCTACATCATTTCTTCCACAGATGTTTCTTCTTCTGTGTCTTTAGAAACCTCTCATTTTTATTTCCAAGTCAAGGCATCACCTTTCCTATTCACTCTCAGTTTTGATAAGGAAGGACCTATCATTATCTCGCTGACTGCCTGTATATAATAACGTAGTCCGGTAACTAAGGATCTGTTTGGTGTCTGTACTGGGAAAGAATGGTGGCATAAAGAAAGTTCTGCTGGGATTACAGTTCAGCCGTACCAGAAGATCTCCCTAGCTTTGCTCCTCCTGAGCCTGGTGTTTGTCCTGATAAGTGGTATCATTGTCACAAAACAGATAGAGCATGAGTGTTGGCATGCTTAAGCCTATCCTTCATTATCTGTGCAGACCTAGCCACAGCACACACATGCTTTTGGCCTTCTTTAAAGAATCACACAGTCACAGAACAGGTGAGGTTGGAAGGGACCTCTGAAGATCTCCTAGTTTACCACCACCTCCTCTGCTCAAAACAGAGTCAGCTACTGCAGGTTGCCCAGGACCAGGACCAGTTGGGTTTTGAATATCCGCAACAATGGAGACTCCACAACCTCTCCAGGCAACCTGTGCCAGTGTTCAGTCACCCTTACAATAAAAGTGTTTCTTCCTATGTTTAAATGTAATTTTCTCTATTTCAGTTTGTGCCCACTGCCTTTTGGTCTGTTCCTGAGTACCTCTAAGAAGAATCTGGCTTCATCTTCTTTACTCCACCATATCAGTTATTTATATACATGGACAAGATCCCCCTGAGTCTTCTCCAGGCTAAACAATCCCATCACTCTCAGACTCTACACGTGGCATTTCCCTGTCTTGAATTTATGAGGTTTCTGTCTGAACAACTCTCTGGTCTGTTGAAGTCCCTCTGAATGGCACACAACCACCTGCTGTATTTACTGGTGTAATAATGAAACCAATACCAATGAAGGGAGGGAACTTTGATGGGTCAACAGGGGACAGTTTATGCCATAGCAGCTTCCTGCATCTCTTCCAGGATAGTGGAATAGAGTCAAGAGTTCACAGGGACTTGCATCTTGGCTTCCTTTCTGATGGATATTGCCTTTGTGGCAGGAGCTGTGCTTCTGAGTGCTGGGTTGCACATGGCCACTGGGGAATGTGTGTCTCCAGCCCTACATCTTGTGTCTCCTGGCAGCAGCTCTCCGGGCTCTGAAGTACTGAGCTATATAGAAGTACAAAAGCAGCCATTCAGTTGGCGATGTGAGACATCCTGATAGCTCTTCCCTCCTCACCCAAGGAGGAGACAGTAGGCCAGAGTGAATGTCCTGTTGCCACTATTTGGACTTTGATTAGATGAACCAGGACTTTTACCCAGTAACCCAACTCCTTTCTTCTTGGGAAACCTGAAAGTCATGTTGCTTGTGGCTTTTTTCATCCCTTAAAAAAACCCAGTAGCTGTAAGAAAACATTCTTTTTCAGAGGCTGTTCAGCTGCCTGAGTGTGCACCCTTTGAAAAAAGAGTAAGAAATCTGATGTCACAGGTGAATAACATTTTTGTAGCCAGAGTTCCACATTATGACGTGCTAAAAATAAACTCTAACGTTTAATCCTGTACCTCGTTAATTCACAACATAGGTGATGAATCAGCAGAATAGTATCGGCAGGCCCTGTATCAGTTAGTCTCTGTGTGAACTGAACTGTCTGGCTACCCAGACACTAGTAAGATTCTTTGCATGCTCTGATTTTTCAGTGTTAATTTGTGTGAGCAACTGAGCCACAGTAAGCTCCTACTCATGTAATGAAAGATTACTGTCAAGAGGTCTCACTGGTGTTTCTTTGTGTTCCTGTTTTTCTCACAAAGTTCCCCTGTGTTCCTCTCCCTCCTGCTAGGTGCGGCAGCAGAGACGTGCTGCTTCTGAAGAGGTTGGGTGGAAGCACAGCAAGTTGAGACAACAGCAGTTTAACTTCCCTTAGGAGATGCCTTTTAAACTCTCTAACCAATGATTTTGAGAGGCTACACTTTCACCTCAGCTTTTCTTTTTTCCCACACTCAAAAAAGGCTTATGTGTAAGAAGTGAGCCCTTAGCAAGCAGATTAGCTCATCAGTATGCAAGACAAACATCACTATAATTATGGAACAATGAAAAAAACACCCTATTTTGACTAAAAAAGCAGAATCCTGGAAACTTTAATTTATCTCATCTCACTGTCTTACACATAAGACTGTGACAATGTGGCTGGAATTAGATGTTTGTACTTACATACAGTTTCTTGCTGCCAAGTCTCTATGGACAAACTTTTTGCTTGCAAGGTATTTCATCCCTTTTGCGACCTGAAGGCCAAATCCAATTAAATCTTTTACTGTTGGATTCTGTAAAATACAAATGTTTGTGACACAATGAATGCAGAAGCCCAAGGAGCAGACTGTTTTTTGCTGACTCTCTGCTTTTGACACACCTATCTTGCCACCAGAATGATCAAAACAGGTTGGTGCTTGTAGTAAAACTGTCGTAAATTTAGGTCAAGTTCTTACCTCCAGTGAGGAAACATGCTTTAAGAAGTCAAAAAAGCTGACAGACTCCAGAAGAGTGGAGTTTGCAGCATAAGCAGCATGACCTGGGCTGGGAAGTGGAACGGTGTGCTGAAATCTCAGCATCACAGCCAATAAAGTAATAGCATGTAACTCAGTAGAAGGTGCTAACTATGAACTTGGAGCTCATCGGCTGGAGATGACCAAGAAAGGACACAGTCCTATTTGGGGCTAAGTAAGTGCAAGCTATCATCAGTATGATGCCATGGAAAAGGCAAATGAGACCTTAGCAGTTACCAGAGGAAGGTTTTCCACAAAGATTGGTAATGCTTTCTGCTGGTCTACAAGGTCAGACCTTACTGAAAATGTTAAATATCAAACTAAGTATAAGCATAAATCTGCAACTCTTTTATCCAACAGCATGACTTGTTAAGTGATAGTAAGGTCCCACAGATTTTTGTCTTGTTGACATTGCCCCATATAATTTTCTTCTGTGGAACAATCTTGTTCAATGGTGGTCATTATTCTAATTATTTCAGGAGGGACCACAGACAAGGGCTCCGGTGGTTGTAGAATGAAAGAACCTCAAAAGGGAAGAGGCCCGTACCTCAGAAAGCCTAACTCCCCAAACAATTTGTCAAGACGCATTTTTTTTTTTCTAATTGTACTGGCTATTGTTGATTGCCATAGAGGCAGGGGCAAAATCCTGTTGTCTCAGAAGTCACTTTGTATTGTCCTAGCACTGTGAAATGGGTGAAATACTACAGTGTAAAGTGGGCTTGCACGACCTCAGGGAAGACCTGTGGTGTCATGCTTGAGAAAAAGCAGTGAGGCACATTTGAGAAATCTGCTGTCTTTCAATGGAAACCTGGAAAATCTCTGATAACAGAGAACTCATAGTCTGTATAACAATTGCGGGTTTTCTTTCGTAAGATAAGAAGAAAAAATATTGATAATAATGGGACTGTGACACTAGCTGGACATGAAGATCCCTTACCTAGGAGCTGGAAGAGCAGATGGTGATGACTGGCACAGCTGTGCTGAAGTCAACGGAGATATGCCAGTTTAAACCAGCAGATGGTTGGGCCCCTTGACTTAGATCTCATAAACACATTTGTTTATAAAGAGGCTTATGGATGGGAAATGAGAAATACTTATTGCTGATAATTTCTGGGAAACACTCTAGAGAGGAATTTGAGGGGGAAGGGAAGGAGTGGCAGTGCTGTGGTTGGGCTTGGTGCCAGCCTAAGCAAGTGCTAAAGGTTAAGGTGTAGTAACAGCAGCAAGCTATAGACATAACGTAATTATCAGAGCTTATAACCTGTGGTGTTGGAGCAGGGTGTGGCTAGACTTGCATTACCGTTTGGTAGATCTCACCATGTACTTACATGAGTCTCATTCCTAATGAAGTTTCGAAGATCTCCGTGTTTCATGTATGGAAGAACGACTAAGGGGGATCCTTCATTGGGCAAACAGATTCCCAGGAGTGACAGAACATTGGGATGAGTGAAATCTTTCATGATTATTCCTTCTTTCAGAAACTGAGCTACTTCTTCCAGGTCTGTAATCCCTGAGAAATCCAGTAATAAAATGAGTTAATTAAAAGAAACCCAAACAAACTACATTTCATTTCTGTACAGCATGTCATTGCACAACAAAGTGATAATGAGAAACTACAAATATGCTTGCCACCTCCCACATTACAACTAGGTTATGTGCATTGGTTTTCTTACAATGATCAAATACATTTTGTTGGTGATTTTAATTCCATTCCTCCTTTTCTTATTATGAATTATTTAGCATTGAATAACAACACTTGAGTAAAGCCTTTAATAAATGTTGTTATAGTCTCTTCCTGTTTTTCCAGCAGCTTTGCCCGCTCTTTGGCAATTTAACTTCCAAACCCAAATCTTCAGTAGTCAGTAGCATAAAAAATGATGCTGCCTTTCCCTCATTTTCCTGTGTCCTTTTCACCAGTGTCTCATGGTAATCTGAAGTAATTGGAATCGCTCCAAAGATAAATCTGATCCAGCTGCAACTAAGAATCTTTATTTGTGAAAGTACACTTCACTGTAATTAATTAGTTCACCCTGGTTATCTTTCGAGGTACGGTAATGTCTCACTATTAAACATGTAACTCACTATTTAGTGACTTCACAGCACAATGAATTTTCTTGCCATCGTTATCCAGCAATGTCCCATGGTACACACACCCAAAATGTCCTGTGTGAAAAATGAGCAAGATTAGCTTTAATAAGTAAAATCAGCTTTCTGATATTTTCCACTGGGTGGCAATTATGCCTTAAGGTGATCACACTCCATTTCCGTCCAATTCCCAACATTTGTAATGTATACTTCATAACTAACACATAAAACTACCATTACCTAAAACCATCATTACATAAAATGAAAACTCTATTTGCAATATAATTGACATTTCTTGACCTAGATGGAGAATATAACTAACGACGAGGTTGGCACCACAACTGCTTTATGTTCTTTTAATGACTATGTACAGAAAACCGTGTCAACCCATTCCCACCATACTCTCCTGTGAGATATACGTCAAAGGAGGGCACTGGAAGGCACCGGGGAGCAGTTAGGAGCTGACATGACCACTGGATCTGTGGTTCCCAGTGGTCCACAAGCTCATGCTAAGTGGTCCACTGGATTGTACAGCCTTGGAGCATCTTCAGTGGAAAGTTGCATAAGGAGGGTCACTGTGGGCTTACAGTCTCTCAGGTCTGGCTATTCCGTGGAAAATGTTGAGTGTTGAAAACAGTGTGTTAGCCGTGAACGGTGTGGGAGTCGCTCTACTGACCACAGGCTGACCACACCAGTAGGCAGCGGTCTATGGTCTCTCCTCTGGCCTAGTTCTGAGTGCGAAATGTCACTAAAAGATGATGAGCAAAATTTGCCTTCTTTCTCATGGTCTAAGCAGTGACATAAACTGTCAGGGACACAGAAATCCTTCCTGATCCTGTGCTTTCCTGCCAAGCAGATGGGGCAGTCTACAGAAACCTACCATGTGAAAACTTACTAGGAGAAGTCAGGTTGACCTGTTTGGGAAACAGAGAACTTTGAGCTCCAGGCATGTGCATGAATTTATCCAAATCAAATTATGTACATGTCATGGTGGCTTTCCTTCACAAATGTACTATTTACTGGACACCTTTAAATTTTAATATTTGCAATTAGAAAGCAAATTAGTTTTTTGACAAGTGTGAGTTCTGCAGAGAACAAGACTATCTGATTAATTCTACTAGGTTCCAGTCATAAGTGCTGGTCAGAACCCAGTTGGCTTTGCTTTTGGCTTGGAGTAAAATTAATACAAAGTTTGTTTTACAAAAGCAACTAAAATCCCATCAGACCACAGATTGTTTGGAGCCTGGGCACAAATCCTAAAGTTTAGATTGGGTGTGTCTATAATATTTTTGGGTTTGGTCCATTTCTAGTTATGGAGGAGAAAATTAAAAGTGGTTAATTATATCAGTGTCATTTCTGGTATTTTTCAGCTTTTAAAAAAGGGAAATTGCTTGGACTTTTCTGAAACAAGAAAGAAAAGAAAAAGGCCCACCCTTGCTTTGGGGATGATGAAGTGTCATACATGGAAGGGAAAAACACACTGACTGTTTGTTTGATTTGTGGCTATTTTCTTGCAGAAGAGGCATTAGGAATATAATTTACAGCCAAATTTCTATCAGTATTCTGATACTCAACAGGAGACCTCTCATGCAGAAGTAGAAAATCCAGTTTCTACTTGGGTTACTAATAGGTACTCAACACCACAGAATTTAATAAATGCCCTTAACAGAAATACTGGGTTGGGCTATGACAGAAGGAGGGAACCTGCTTATGGAGATGTAGAGGAATAGGAGTGAAATTCAGAAAAACAGGGGACTTGCTATATCAGGGACAAAAATAAGGGGAAGTGAATCATGAGCTACACGTTACTGCAGCTGGGATGAGAGAGGAATGAGGGGGAATGGAGAACCTTCGGCAGCAGGAAACAAACAGCAAATTCCTCAGAGCTGGGGGAACCTTGTGGAGGGAAAAGGGGTGTGTGCATTTCACCGGCCTGTGGGACTTTTACTGAATATACTAGTGACTGCAGGAGTTTTCGGTGTTGTGTAGCAATCATGCCAGCACTCAGGCTCCAAATTTAAGGTCACTGGTGCCTCTGCCTCAGTATTCCCTGCTTAGGCGTGTGCCTTAGGCTCAGGCAATATTCTGAGGCAGCCTCACTCCTGCGCCGCAGCCTCATGGATCAGAAGCCCTGGCTGAGCTTTTCTGTAGCCTGGAAAAGGGTGAGAGTAAGGCAGCTGGCGGGGCACTAGCAAGTCTCTGAGTTCAAAGGAGCACCATTAACTGGCAGACTCCTCCCTCTGGTGTCTTCTCCAACTGCACAACCCTTCATCTGACTTCTTCAACAGACAGCCCTTTCATTCTCACCTTGATTTGGTGCATGGGATGCAGTGCTGTAAAGAGGTAAAAAGCTTGAAAAATCTCCATGTAGACAACTTATTCAGAATGGTTTATAATGAAAGGGTGTGCAAAAAGAATAGCAGTTTGCAAGGTGAAAGCCGCGGTACCCACCTCTTCCTATTACTTCGCTGAAGTGCACAATCAGGCTGTCAGCACCGATGACCACGTGCTGCACTTCTTTGACCAGGTCGGGATTTAAGGCACTGATGTCAATGTGGACATTAGTTTGGAGAAGTGGACTGGCTAAATCTGAGTCTCCGCTAGACAGAATTGGGGAGAGGTCAGAGTGAGGGTACTGGGCAGGTCTGCACGATCCATTCTGGGACATGCTTGGAAACTGATCTGCAAGATGAATAGAAACTGTTATAATCCTTTCAGACTTCTTGGAAAATGAAGAGGTTTGTTTCATTGGTAAGCAAGGTTTGAGTTTATCAGTTTGGAAGAGGCTTGGCTTTGCAGAAGTTTTGGTCACAAAGGGAAAATGAAAATATGCATTGCTAATCTGCCAAACTCCAGGAAAACCATGTCACTAGAAACTTATGCTTGTGTCAGCTCTACTTTTATGAAAGAAAATGGCAAAACTTCCACATTTCTGAGGGGATGGAATGAAGCCTTGTCACTTCTTGCCAAGTGTAAATGATAACATTTCTAGTAACTGGGAGTAACAAGAGTAAAATGGAAAAATGACAGCAATATGGGAGGAGGAATTAGTGAACAATTAAAAATATGAAACCTTTTATTATTGTCATATTCTAATTTGGTAGGGAACTCTACATTTCGTGAAGGTTTCCAAACTACTGGTGACTAGCTATATTTATCCAATGGTAAATATTCAACCAGGGAAATGCCTAGAGGTGATTCATATCCTGTAACTGCTGAAGATAATACAGTTGGTGCTACTCATGAAAATAAAATGAGCCAGCTGATTTAAAATAGCAGAAATTAAAATGTTTCAGTCAAGGAAGGAGTATTTATTTGAGAAAATTATTTTTGTCAACAGCATGTTTTTCAGGAATTTTAAATTGATTTTTTTTTCTGGTATTTTGTGTAATAGGATCAAAGAACTAAGTTTAATTTACACCAATTTCAGTCTGGAATGATTCCAGTCGAGTCAATGAGCAGAATTTAGCCCAGGGTCAAAAAGAAAAAAGGGAATAAATTTAACAACAGAAATTATCAGATATTTTATGACAAAAGAGTAAAAGATGTTGTACAGACATGCTTTATATATTTATGTATAAAACTTGGGAAATTTTCATATAGTGCTGTTATCACTCTAGGTGTTGAGAAAAACTCAGTGCGGCTCTATCTAGAATCAAAAATACAAACTCTTACATTTACAAAGCCTCATTTATGTCACCGAGTGCAAATACCTATTTAACAATCATGGTAAAATACTCTAGCCATGGCTGCAAAATTTTTACAGCTGCTACATGTAAATCTGCACGTTTTCTAATGTTCCTGTCATTTTATTCTTTGGCAGTAATTGATGTAAACATTCCTACAGGAGCATTAAGTGAACACACCTCCTTCTTGGGTGTGCTCTCTGCTGTGCTTTGCCAGCGTGCAGTGGCCCCAGGACCACTGCAGATTTACCTTCCACCAAGGATGTTTGCACAGTTTTGTCTCATGTACCACTTTCCCTTCTAACCAGTGGCACAAGCTTTCCTTTTCCTTTGGGAATCTTTCAGTCAAGACATTTCCTGTGCGAGCTGGTGGCAGCAATTAAGGAATCTTAAAGGAAGCTGGGAATGGGCCTGGCTCTCAAACAAATTGGGGACTACAAAGGTGGAGTAAGGATCTGGAGTGATTTCTATTGAGTTGTATATGGCAGCACCTGAAATAGTACAAGACTATGTCTATACGAAGACTAACCAATGTCTGTGATATCTCAAATATCATAATATGGTAACTCCTTACGGTTAAAGACTCTAATGGTAATCACAGAACATGGTCTCCACATGCCTCAAAGGACATGTTCAGCCTAAAGTAATGATAAGTGCAGCAGAGTGCCCTTCTGGAGAATACCCACTCTAAAATGGTGTTATAAGGCACAAAAATGTATTCAGCTTAGGGTTATTCTTCCCTCAAGCCTACAGGCCAACAGCATGTTTTCTGAGACTGGCATCTCAGCACACATGGACCTCCACTCAATTTGCCACAGTTTTCACATCCTTTTAGCTTAATTTTTAAAATCAACATTTCTATGTCATACAATGTGCCATTTTATAGGAGGGGCATGAACAGACAAAAGAATATCAGTTTACAAAACCCCGTGTCCCATGTTGGGCTGACAGAACTGCTTTATAATGACTATATGAAGTTACTGAGACAGACTAAACCTACAGCTATTTGATGCTATCCTTAAAATTACTTTTTTCAGAGTAGATTTGCGCATGGTGTGATAGACCTTATGATAACACAAAATCTTATATCCACTACCTCCTAACACATTGCAGAGCATACTTACAGAGTTCTTACTAATAGTATTTTATATATTCCTCCAACATGAGTATAAGTAAAAATCCTTTGCACCTTAACTTGGGAAGTACCCGAGACGTGCAGTTCAAATCGCAAGCCTGTGAACACATGGAAGTCTCAAACAATGCAGACGCAGACAAACCAGATGGGAAATTGAAATTAAGATACTGATCAAAATAGCTGTCATCTGAAGACATATGAAAAGCAAGATGTATATAATACAATCCGTACCGATTCATAATAAAAGCATACCTTCTGGAAAAGTTGATCTGTAGTCTACAGATTCACTTGAAACCATTTCTGTTGTTGGACTTACACTCCTCGCGCTCACCAGCCTGTCCAGGTGAGGAGTGTGCACTCTGCCATCATAGCGCACTAGGTCGCTTCCCAGATCTGAAGGCAGAGGAGAAAGAAATATTAGAAAAACCTCATGTTTACTGTGTGCCAGCATTCATTTAGGTATCTATTATTTAAGTTTAGATGTTCTGCTCTGCTGGGAAGAGGGCTGGGTTGTTGCTGAGGCAGACGTGTAGGACCTGAACGTGAGCTATTTGTACAGCACAAGATTTGCTGTAACTCGTGTTAAAGCCCCACTCTTGGCCACACTGGAAGATCCAAGAGAGCTTTGGAGCCTCTGGGGCCAGCTTCATGATCTGACTGTGATACTGCATCAGAACAAGACCTGGTTATATACTAGCTCCCCTCCTCCTACCCACTTGCGTAGTGCAGCAGTTCCCACTGGAAGGAAACCCAGACATGTGGGCCAGAGAGGAGGCACACTCTGACCAAGTTCCTGATTTGGGTGAACAGGAGACCAGGACACCGCAGCATTAGCACAGCCTGGAGGACTACAAGGCAGCTGAATGAAGCTGAAGTACTTGTGATTCCATGCACGTCATTTACTTGTCCCCTCTTCCCAGGCTGATTGGGAAAGAGAAGTGACGAAGTTTTTCTAGTAGCTGAGTTCCTCCGAAATCCTTCTCCTTTAGGCATAGTGTGGCCCTTCACCCAGCTCAGGCAAGTGCCAAGGGCCAAAATGCAACTAAACATTGGACTTGATTGTGAAACCTCTGCTGACAGGTCACAACACGGCATTGCACGGCAATTAAGCAAAACATAAACTGATGTCAGTTTTTAAAATCTAAGATATAATAATGGAATTATTTGATGCAATTGACTATGATGGACCTTTAATTTGTTTCTTCTTCCTTCTCCAGAGGAAAAACACCAAAAAGATAAAAATTAAAACTGATGTTGAAACAACTCCAGCAATTAGTCCCGTGAAATTCTGATCTTGCCGGATCAGCACTTTTCCAATAACTGTTGACAAAACTTCTTGCTTCCACTGGAAAAAAACAACGAAAAAAATAGTGTGATGATTTCAAAAGACAAGTAAGGAGTAGATTATTATTACTAAAGTAGAAGCTGATATGTCCCATATGCATTAAATCTTGGTTTTGTGATGCTGTACTGCGATAAGACACTGGGAGTGGAAAAATTGTTATATTGCTGTACGCAAAATCAGATCTACATTTTTATGATTCATTACACGCCTTCAGGAGCTCTCGTGGTGACACAGCTATGTATGTGCTACACCACACACATGGCACACACTCACACATGCACTCCAGATAACGGGATCCCACTGCTACCAGATGTTATTTCAAAATGCTGAATTCATACTTTTACTCAAATGGTGCACAGAAATGTATGTGCATATGGATATATGGGCTGAGATGTACATTAAAAAACATAGCCCAAATGTCTTTAATGTGTGTCCTGGCGTAAATACGCTGTAACATCAAACTCTCTCGCTGTTGACAGTGTGCCTGCATTTTAGTTCCCAAGGTCACGTGAGCCTGTCCCTTGCCAGCTTTTAGCTTGTTGACAGTTTAAAGAGACCAAAAAAACCAAACCAAAACAAAAGAAACAACCCCAAAAATCAACAACCAAACAAACACCAAGCAGCTAACAGGGAAAAACTGTTTTAGGTCACACGGCACTAGCTCAGTCCGTTGGAATGCATTTGGCCATCTTTTCTCTTCCTCGTGTGGAATTCATTCCTCTGGGTACTGTAATGATGGATTTGCCCGTCAAAAGAGCAAATTTTCTTCTTCGCTGGGCAGACTGCAATTTCTGAAGCTCCTTGCCAGTAAACAAGCAGAAACCTTATTTAACCCCTTTATGTTGTGTTCTTTTCTACGTACGAAATAAATGTCACGCGTATCTGTTTCTTACGGGTTAAGGAAATACCACAGAGCAGAACTGACTGAATGTAGTGCCAGTGGCGGTTGCCTATGTAAAAATATGAACAGGTACAGAATGCAACATGTATGCAAGTATTATATGTAACTAGGCATTTACAAGTCCAGGAAACAGATACACCAAAAGGAGAGCTGCATTCAATTTTATAGTTTGCCTGATACATCCAAGAAATTTAATTTGTACTTTTCAAAATAAACTCGTATTAATGTAAATTAATATTTACTGTATTAATAAAGCACATTAGTCATTACTATTTGCTTAGACTGCAGTAGCACATAGGAATACCATTCATGGACCAGGATCCTATTGCCATAAAGACAGAAAAAATAGATGGTCTCTGCCGCTCCAAAGAGCTTACGTAGACTTCGATTCTAATCACGCTTACATGACTGGCAAAGTCTCCACTGTTTCTAATGAATCAGAGTTCATGATCAGCAAATTTCATAGTTTAAAGGTAATCCCATTCTGCTGTGATTTTTCTTTTTTATATATATTATTTAAAAAAAAACTAAGATACTGAAAGATTTGTGTCTTATTGTGTGAATCAGTAGGTCAAAACTGTCTACAGTTTAAATTTGCAGTAGCACTGTGAATTACTCTAGTGAGACCACCTTTAGAACAATAGTGGAGCTCAAACATTTCTCCTAAGTCTGCATCTTACACAAAGAATTGAAATGAAATTATAAAAAGCAGACAAAAAAATTATTTCGGTAAGGATCTGATCCTCTTGACTGCAGCAGAATTTTTTGCTGAAAAAGGGCTTGTGAGCTCCAAAGCAAGCCTACTCCATTATAACTTCCCGTTGTTCGCCATATGTTTCCTCTTGTGTTTACATTAATAACTATCATTTTATTTCTGTGCTTAGTTTAGGTCCTACTTTGTGCCTAAGGCTCCAGAAAGTCTCTCTACAAACAGATAATAACAACAACGATGATAATATTTCTTTTTAAATAGTCGATATTATTTGACTTTCCATCCCAAACAAACAGGGATAGAGATATCTCTGTAAACACAGGCTTAGGCTCAAATTTAAAGTTTATAGGTTCGATAGTGACATTGGGAATGATAATAAAAATGGCATTAATATCTCATGTGTGGTGTAGCTGCCTCACCTCTATATTTAGCTCGCTGTTGGATTTCAGGAGATCGCTGGGAACCGTACACAAAATTGATTCTGACTGTAGGAGGAGGTTTTCGCAGCTTTTATTTCCAATTTTTAGCACCTCTCCTTTAACAGCTTCTGAATCAATATAATTTCCCTTGGGAAAAAAAAAAAATCAATTTCATATTACATAACCATCTCATAAAAGTTAAGAAGTTCTTTTATTACACCTTGAAAAATGTTTTTAATGGAAAACCAATTGTGAAATAAAAGACTAACATAAATTTACATGGCCCTATCACTATGCATGTTTCACGTTTTTTCATGTAAATGGCTGTTTGACAGACAGGCTAGAGGGGGATGATAAAGTTTATGGATAAAATCTGCTGTCACTGATACTCATACAGTCCATACAGACTTCTAAAAATATAAATGTCTGAGGGATAAATCCTGGTGGTCTTGTTTAGATTTTTGCATAATTTGCACAAGAAAGAATGCATTATGTGACTCTGTTGTTTATACGAAACCCGCATTATATTATCCACAAACTAAAGGCATTTCAAACACTTTGTTTTGCAAGTGGTTCTGGTAGCAGGAGTGAAGCTTTCAAAAAAGAACTAATTAATTATAATCATAAAAATGCACAAATCTGTTAAAATCATGTTCCACAGACCAAAAAGGAACAAACCCTGGTAAAGATGACAGCGTGAAAAGTGCACTCCCTACTCAGAAAACCTGCTTTAACATCCCAGACTTGGATAAAATATTATTCCTTCTGGTATTGTGATAGTAGTGTCCAAAGGCCGAGTTCAGGATCTTTTGTGCCCAGGAGTGCATCAGTATTTAAAATGCTGCCCTACTCCATGTACACCAGAGAATGGAGGATGAGGAGTAACACTTATACAGGCTACCTATGTGGGCTGGATCTGGGGAGCCTTTCAGGAGAAGGGAGGAAGATGTCATGGCTGACACTGCTATGAGGCCTTGTATACTGGAAAGAAAACAAGAATCCCATTCTGAGGGGCAAAACCCCCTGACTTTGGCATATGCTTTAGGTTTGTTGCAGAATCAGAATGAACCCTGGGAATATTTTAAGAAACATATAGAAGAGCCAGTTTAACACCCTATTGTGACGGTTAAAGCCACGCCTCAGGTATATGCTTTTTAATTGCTGGCCAAAAAAGTCCATTTCGCACTCTATCATTTTCTGTCTGCTTTGAGCCATTCTGTTTGGTATTAAGTAAATATTCAATGGCCCAGGGAGCATGTGATTGACTGCTTATTGCTTATTAGTATGGAGACTTGCTGTAGATTGTGAGCCATTCCTGTTCAAACCTTTCCTTTGAATGATGTACTTCAATTTGAGTTTTCCATCTCCAGGGTAAATATATCATCCTGCAGAGTGTGGGTGAGTGGCCTCTTTTTCTTCTACACCAAATCTTAGAACTTTTTTCTCCACCAAAACTGACACTTACCCAAAGGGAAGAAAAAAAATCATACTGATGTTTTCTAAGGTGGTCCTTAGCCAGTTATAATGAAAATAGTAGCTTTTACTTCCTTCCATTACCATATTACCATTAATATATTATAGTTTCAAATACATTCACTATAATATCTCAATATATTAAGAGTTTAAAAAGTCTTTCCACAGTGATTTTGCTCTTCTCAGGACCACAGAATCTGCTTGTGATTTTAAGAAGAGGAGGAAACTGGCTCCTGTGAGAACTGGGAAACAATATTGCTTATTTGAAATGCGTATTACCCTCTTCTTGGTGAGTAATGCCCTTGCACGCAAGCTGGAAAAGCTTGTTACTGGACTGAGTAGATGTCACAAACCAATCTGATAGACTAACTACCTCACAGCTTTAGAGAGATGGGAATAATTTGGGTGAAAGTCTAGAAGCAGTAGAAGAACCACAAACCAAGGCGTTGAAATTCTGAGGTTAGAGGAAGAGTTTTTGAGGTTCTTAGGCAGAGCAGGTTGACTTGGGAAAAATGAGGAGTTACTGCAGCTACAGAGCTTCTACTTCAGCTTGCTGGGGAATACCAGGGTTTTCAATATTGCACTCGCTTAGACCAGACATTGAGAGAAACCTTATTTTCTACGAGATGTGGAAAATTGAAAATAGAGTGACCTATAAATAAACAAGAAGAGTTCCTTAAGATTGTCTCACAAAGAATGCGTTGTACTGGCCTAGGAATAGAGTAGGCAATTTTGTAAGTCTCGTCCTACTCTGAGTATTAAGACAGCTGTGCCAGAGGACAGCCAAGATCTCAGATGTGTTGTGTAACATGAAATGACGATTGTGCTACTTATTGCTCTAGTCAAAGATTTATATTTACAAATACACTTTAGTCACCTAGCGTCCTACTCCTGGGCCTCCTCTGGAAGCATGCACAGAGACCCTGCACCGGCTTGGTGCACAAGCACCACCCAAGACCAGGCCAGGCCTCTGGGCAGACTGAGGTAAGAAGCTGCTTCTTTCCTTATTTATTTGTTGCTTTTTTTTCACAGCTAGGACACACTGGGCTGTCAGCAGGCCAGCTTGCAGGTCTCAATCAGTGGCTCATTCAGGAGGCAGCAAACAGACCATACTCTTCAGCAGACTCAGGTCTTCCATTGTTCCCAACAGCGAAACACCAGTATTTCTTCTGCCCTGAGAGCTTCCCTTGTTGGTGGGAAATGGGAGCACTTCTGAAGTGGTGTCTTCACAGTGTTGAAGCAGAGAAGTGCCTCAAGCCACTCTGTCATGACCCCTCTGACTGGGGCATGGTGGGCACTGAGAGACTTCAAAGAGCCATATACTTGGCAGAGGAAGACAGTGATGATGTGGGATCTTGAGAGGCTTGGTAGTGTGGAAGACAAGGGCTGGCAATGAAGACAAGAAGGGCTGGCATTCAGGGCACACAGTGCCCTGACTGTGTTTTAGATAGAAGACTTAATGTTTTCTTGTGTGTAACGTTTTCTTACAAAAACATCTGATGATCATCAGGGGAAACCAAACAGAACCTTTCAGTTGGTACCCACTGTCATTCGATGAAAGGCAAATATGTCACACTAGATTAGTTTGATTGAAAAACTTGTGATAAAAGCTCCCTCCGCCCCTCTGAAACCAATTAAGAAAAAGATAAAAGAACTTTGGTTTGGTAGAACAGGCTGTTCACTGAAGCAAGCTGCCATTTAATTTCATGCTGAGCTTGCTTAATTACTGCACAAAATATGACCATGAGGCATGTAAACTTGTGTGTGTATATTTTTGAATGTGGGTATGGGGCGAGGGAAAAGTGTTGCCAATACGGCTTGTAATGATCTTATGCCTCCCGACCATAATTTCTGAAAGTCGCCTCACTGTTTTGATAGAAGCATCCCACTATAACTAATTCTATTTAGATGAAGATGTTAAATTGGTCCTTGGTCGTGCTTTGTTCTAGGAGACCAGCTCTCACTAATGTTATTCTCCAGTTGGTTGCCAGGAAATAATCAGGGCATTGGGCTTAGGTAGACATCTGCCTTGGGTGCCATGACTACAGGTGACATCAATACTACAAAATTGTGACATTGGTCAGTTGTCAGTGCGGCAGTCCTCAGCCAGCCTTTCTCATCTGAATGGCTTCTTCCCAGCAATAAATAGCACTAGGGACTTCTCTTTAAGGGAGAATAAAAGATTCAAGGGTAAAAGGAAGGAGAGTTAAAAAACACCTAATTTTTAACCTCAGTCCCTGGCAAGATTATGAAGGAAGTCCTCATGGAAGCTCTTCCAGGCAGAGGAAGGATAAGAATGCAATTGGGAACAGCCAGCATAGGTTCCCAAGGGTGGATTTTGCCTGAGCACCCTGATTGCCTTCTATGAGGAGATGACTGGTTCTGTAGATGAAGGGCAAGCACTGGACAATGTTTACCTTGATTTTAGCAGATTTGTGACAGTCTCTCCTAGCATTGAAAACAAATTGGGATGATATGGACTGGATGGGTGGACCATAAGGTGGGTGAAAAACTGACTGGCTGTCAGCTCAAAGGTTAGAAGTCTAACAAGTGGCATTCCTCAGTGGCTGATACTGGGACCAATGCTGCTTAAACCCTTTATCAACAACCTGGACAAAGGGATAGGATGTACTGTCCTTGCACTTGCAGATTACATCAAATTTAGGAAAATGACTGAGATACTGGTGGGCAGGATCACTGCTCAGAGTGACTGTGGCAAGCTGGAGGTGTAGAACCTCATCAATTCAACAAAGACAGATGCAAAATCCTGCATCTGGGGTGGAATAATTGCATGCACTAGGACAGGCTAAGGATAGCAGGGTAGAAAGACACTCTATAGAAAAGGACTTGTGGTCGAAATGAGCAATGTGCCATTGTAGTGATGAAGGCTCACCATGTATTTTAGCAGCAGCAAAGCCAGTAGAGTGTTCTCCTCTGCTCACCACTTGCAAGACCACACATGGAGAATTGTGTCAAATTTTGAACCCCGCGTAACAAGAGAGGTGCTAACAAACTGGATGACGTACAGTAGAGGGCCACTGAGCTAGGAAGGGAGCTGAAGCACAGGGTGCACAATGCAAGGCTAGTGGAGCAGTGTTTTTTAAAGCTGTAAAATATCCATTCTTGGAGGTCTTAAAAACTCATCTAGGCAAGGCCATAGGCAACCTGACCTAATTTTTAACTTAGCCCTGTTTTGAGCAAGAAGGTTAGACTACGAAGACCTCCAGAGGTTCCTTCCAATCTAAGTTATTTGACAATTGTTCTCAAATTAGTCTTCTTTCCAATTGGTTGATATGCATGACCTGGAAAATACTGGAAAACACTGCTGTCACTGCACAGAGGCACTGAGCCATGCAGCAGCTATATATTCCCAGCTCTCCGTTGACCCGCACACCAGAACTCTTTCTAGCGTTTCTCCATAATTGAACAGGAGAATTGCTCTGCATTGAGGAAGGGGTGATTGTACGGCCACAAGCTCCAAGTAGAAAAACAAAACAAAACAAATAAAAATCACACTGATTATTATTTGGAATTTTGCCAAAACACTTTGTGGCAACAGATCAACATTAAGAGTTTGACTGGACCCAGCATGGCTGACAGAGACTCTGAGGTAACCCTCTGATTTCCTGCAGCTCAGGAGCTGGCCCACTGGACCATCTTGGAGTCAAAGACCTCGGGTCTTAAAGATTTCGTGACTGTCATAGAGGAAAAGAGTTTTGGCTTACAGAGCTATGGAGGAGCTACACAAAGAGATGACCCCAGCATTAAGACTGATTCTCTTCTGTAAAGCATTTTTTATAGATTATATTTTATATAAATTATAGATATACCATATAAATTACACGTACGTAATAATAAATATTCATAAATATTCATGGTAATGTTTCTATTTGACACTCTAACTCAGAAAAGCACTACATTTCAAGAAATTGGACTCTCACAAAATGGATTTAACTTCCTCCACAGCACTGTAGCAGAGAGCAGCCTGTGCCTGCGAGGGCCTCAAATTCCTAAGAGATGTTTCTCAGCGCTGTGTAGGCTACTCTCAAAGCTCTTTTAAGAGGCACTCAGCATCAACTCTGCATTTTTCATGGATCCATAAATATTTAGGCTATAGTGGTGACTGATCCTCATGACTGACTTTGTGCACAGGCTAGAGTTTCCCTCAGTTCTAGAGAGCCAAAGTCGCTAGGCCACTTTCTAAAGGCAACTCCACGTCTTTTGTGAGGAAGGACACGAAACCGTGTGACAGTAAGAGCCAGGACTCATGCGCAGACCACACACTTCAGGTTCTGGGCTGCTGGCCATGTTTAATCCTGAACTGGTGACGCAGCTCATCGCAATCAGAAGCTGACGCAGCATGGTCCTCCCACAAGGATGAGGAAACTCCCTCTCCCACACCATCTGATGCCAACAACTACCCTGGTAAATATATTTGTTTTCAGCTCTGCATCTTTTAAGTTGTGAACAGCTGAGAGCTCAGGTGAACACAGTACCAAACACACTGCTCTCTCTGCCCTTGCTTCCTTGGGGCTTCCTTTATTTCATCAAAATGTCTGTTCCATGCTACGCTGCTGAGATGCGCTTGCAAATAATTGAAAAACTTATTTTAACATTTCTTACCTTAATTTCCAAAACGTTTTGGTTGCCCCTTGAGATGAACACTGGCTTTTCAAAATGCTTAAATATAGGATTATTTACATAATCAAAATCAAAATACAAAGAGCTGACACCATCAAAAATAAAGAACACTTTGGTTACAAAGGGTGGTTGAAGATTGAAGGCTTTCAGTGAAGGAGTTGTACAGCAGATTATCTCTGAGCTAGAGCGGTGGCTACATGCCTATAAGAAAGAAAGAGGTAATTGCAGTAAGTACGTGCATAGTAAGTCACTGATGAATATAACTGTTCTTTAACAATACACATATATTAAAAAATATAAACACCAGGGGTCTTGTTCTTCTTTAACCAAAGCAAAATCCTCATCAGTGCTACACAGTGTTTATTTAGAGCTGGGAGAAAAGTATAAAAACTTCGTGTCAATGGTGTTTGCAGTCTTGTTGAGGAAATGTTCAAGTAAACAAGCTTCCTGGCCTGATTGTTCACAGCACTTTTAAAGTAAATATTTTGCAGATAATTAATGGAAAATGATTTCCAAAGCCAAGGACCATCGGGAGGCTAGCCTAATGTACTGAGAGCCATAATTCAGCTTATTCAACCTATGTCTGAGTGACTGCCACATGTATTTCTCTTCCTTTTTTACTACCAAAGCAATAGCAAGGGAGAAGGTAAAAACAAGGCCAATGAATTTGACTGAAACAACAGAAAACAGAAGTAAAGCACTGTTTACCCACAGTGTAGCTAAGTCGCTTTGTTTCTAGAAAGGCAGTATGGATTCTGTGAGAAAGCACTTTAAAGCCAAAGCCACCATAGGATTCTGGGCCACAAAAGCTCAGCAAAGTGTGTCTTCTGTCTAAAAATGTGTATGTAAGGCCTTAGACACGCGGCATTTGGTGCTAAGGTACCCAGGTGTCATGCAAGTCCCTCCTGGGAGTGTTGACTGCAGGACGTGCTTCCCATTATTTCAGACCAGCAGGCAAGGTTTGCCCCTCGCTGCGCTGCAGGAGCTGCCTGACAACAGGCATGAAGCCACGCTTGCCCCTCACTCTGCTGTTATTCCTCGTGAGGGCCTGCTCTGGAGGTTCTTCCTGGGGGAAAGCTGCTGGTGCACCCCACACTCCAGAAGACCTGCCAGAGGATCTTTGTACCATGGGGGTGTGATCCAGTGTGAAATGTATGGCCAGGGGGCTTCCCTCTATCCCTACTGCTTTGACACAGGACTCGTGAGACAGACAAGACAGACCCAGGTCCTTCCTAAAAGGATTGTTGTGTTGCAAGTGAGGACAGAGGGGATTTGCAGGCAGCCTGATCTGAAGCTGAGTTTAGGCAGTTTGCAGGGATAGTAAGAATCCTTGCAGATGGGATTCATCCAGCCTGCATCCAGACACCTGCACTGGAGTTAGTTTTCTAAACTGCCTTTAGTGTCAACAGAGGGAAACAGGCTCACCTAGAGTGGGATTCATCTGATCCATTTGAGACAACAGCTTTAATTAGATTAACGGTGCTCTAGAAGGGTCAGCTTCTCTCTTGACTGTGAAGGTTTCTACATGACTAATTTGATTATAATGTCAGCAGCACATCTACAAGCATCAGTGGGAGGTATGGTGGGTGCTGGGCAGCATCACGCAAACCGCAGAGTGGCTTGTTTGTGATTGCATCGTATACTCCCTTCTCTGTGCCTCCCTTTCATGCTGCCTACCGTGGATATGGTTGAAGGACTTCTGGCAAAAACAGAGTTGCTTCAGCTCCACAGAAATATTTTTCTTCCAACTGTGTAAACCTTTTGTAAGTAGTTTGCTGTACACTGTGCCCTGACAGCAGAGATTACTTTTTTTTTTTTTTTTTTTTAAATGTAAATACAGTGGCTGACATGTGCCCCAGTAAGAACAGGGCTTAGCTCCTGGTCATCATAAATCTTACATTTGTTCTACAAGAAATTTCCCTGGAAAACCAACAGTGCTGTTGAATACCTTTGCACATCTAGAGAAGGCCAAAAAATAATATAATTTTCTGTTTTGTTTTTCAAATTAAGTTGGTTCTCATTATAAAATGCTGCCTGAAGGAGCTGTGAAATTAGTTTACATTTGTCTCTAATATGCTAAATTAATGCAACGTAATTTTGCTGTTTCAAATCAGTGACATAACTGTTCAAGCTATATCAGTTATATACTCACATTAGCTTGAAAACTAGGATTAAATTAGCTATCTACAAATAAACACTTTTTCTTATCACCACAGCAATTCATGTTTCTGTGCATAATATTGTGAAATCCCGAATCTGCCAAGGGAAACATTTTCAAGGCTCTGAAACTGAGCACTAGAGTTTGAGAGCTCTACTACAAGGGTTCCAGGTCTGTGAGCTGTGAGTTCGGCACTCGGTTAACTAACTTGGTGCAGCTCTCAGTGATGCTAGTGGAACTTGCACTCATTTAGATTCCTAGCACAGCTTCAGAAATATTTGTGCATCCCCCCATGACAACAAGGTAATCTGTGGGACACAAGACAAGGTAGAAATTCACTCTATTTTCTTACAGTATTAGACTGTTCTTCCTCTTTTGAATACCTTGCTATACACCATTGACTATATCTCAGGCTTTGTTATATCACGTGGATCTAGAAGTTAATTTGAAACAGTATGGTAATAATAAGATGCGTTATTAAAATAATGGATGATCAAGCCATACTTTTCCATGATATATGAATATTTGTAAAGATATCTATCATATTGTGTCGATTCTAAAAAGGGATTACTAAAATTTATATAATTATAAAACCAAGTATGTCCCAGGTAATCATTATATTTTTGATTAATGTAAATTCATTAGACGTTTTATCTACTGTAGAGTAGTGATGTCCCTTAAATGAATAGCAGTGGTATTCATAACTTTGTTTGTGGCTATCTATTAGAATCAGATACTTTACTTTATCAGGCTGGTCTCTGAAGAGGAAGCTTTCAGAAAATGATAAAAATCTAATAATACTCTTTGGAAGGGATGCAATGTGACTGATTGGTGAGGTCAAGAAAAATCTTATTTGCAATGCCCTTATTGGTACGTGATTTGACATGACATTTTTACCTTGAAATTGGTTTTAGCAATTGAAGGATATGATGGTTTAGTTTTCAAGAAATATTGGATTGAGGATCTATAACAAAAAAACCCTAATTCAATCTATTGCCTTCTCAGTTAAGATACTGCATATCACCCAGCACCTTTAACTTTTATTTAATTAGGCTTTAAAGTACATTCACTTTAAAAGCTGAGCCTACATTCTTCTTGTGACTATAATCTACATCTGAAGACAATAAGGAAGAAAAGATGTAAAAATTATGGAGCATTTCACAAGCATAAGTAAATACTATACCCCAAAGGGAATAATAATCCATTGCACAATGCGTATGACTCATCACTTAAAGGTATGTATTCTTGTTTCATTTGTAAAATATGACCCTTGAGGCAATTAATTCAAACCTGACCTACAGAATCTGAACTTTGGTGCCCAATTCATTTTTTTTTCATCTGATAGAACAACAGGAAAAGTACGAGGGAGGATCCCTTAGCTCCAGAGGTCTCCCAGCAGCTGACCCAGATAAGAGAGAGGCAGCTGGATGTGTATTACAGGATCTGTAGCAGTCAGAAGGGAGAAAACGGCCAATTTGTCCTTTCATAAAAAGTAAACTTTTGGAGTTCCAGTGAGCAATGAAAGATGAATGAGGTTAAAGACAGACTGGAGACTCTCCAGCTGCCTTTGCCAAATGATGATTTCTCAATAGAAAGAGATGAGAATTCAGGTCTGACTTGAGGAAAGCCCATTTAGAAAGCTTTTCTGATAGGTGAGAAAATGAGCAGGGACACTCAAGCAGGGTATCTTGAAGATTTTTCAGAGAACCCACTGGCTTTTGGTGCCATTTCAGGTAGTGCAATGAATGGCCCTAATGGATTGGTAGCATTTTTATTCTAGTTGTCTTCTTGGGTTAAGGTGTGGGAGATGATACTTCCAGTCTATCAGATCATTGGACCATAAGGTAGGGTAAAACCTCTCTAGCTTCTGGGTCTGAAAGCCAGCCCTTTGCACAACATGACCAATATTGACTGGGAGTCTAAATTCCTCCCTGGGCTTGGGATGGTCAATGTACCCGCTAGCACCACATCCCTGGCACCCTGATAATTTCACAGCATTGGCTTTTCCCTGACACCCCCTGATGCACACTTTCCTTGGCAGGAGATGTGCATGAGATGCAGATTCAACACAGAAAGAAAGGCCAATGGTTTCCCTTTGTGAGGGGAACTCTTTCCTGGACTTCGCCCTGGCAGTGTTCAAGGCCAGGTTGGACGAGGCTTTGAGCAACCTGGTCTAGTGGAAGGTGTCCCTGCCCATGGCAGGGGGGTTGGACGAGATGATCTTTAAGGTCCCTTCCAACCCAAACCATTATGTGATTCTGTGTTTCTGTGGCAGCTTTAAGCCACAGAGGCAACACAGACAGAGGATACAACTCTTTGGACAGGTAGTCAGGAATATCTTCGATAATCACATGCTCACCATCCACAGTTTCCAGGGATTATCTTCTATCATTATTTAATAAATTTAAGGCAGACATTCACAGGTGAATTCTAGACATTTTGATGAATATTATGAGTACAGGTTTTTCATGGACTTGTAAACATTGAAGGAACTTTAGGGTATTTTAAAACTCTCCTGTAATACAGCAGGAAATGGCATCTAGCAGGGAGCAATTAAATGCCAAATATCATTCAAGAGACTACTTACTGAAGAAATAATTAAAAGTTGGCAGAAAGAGACAATCTTGCATAGCTACAGGGTCAGCTGTTGAAGGTCATGCGTTAAAAGGTGTTTCTCCCCAATTTTGCAACTTGCATATCTTGGGACATTCATGGTTAGAAGAGATTAAGCAGTGGGAATATATATCCAAATTAGTTAATGGATGGAATATTAAAAATGCTACAGCAAAGGATCCCCGAATGACCACTTGTTCACTATTGAGGAATCAATGCAAAGTACAGGTTTCAAAGACAAAATATTGGCCTCAAGTGGTTCAGAAGCAGAAGCATCACCTAGCACAACTTACAGCAGAGGTTAGAGACACTATTTTGTAAACAGGCTGCTGATCAAACAACATTCCGGAGCGCGCAAAGCTTTTTTACAGGCACAATGCAAAGTGAAAGTAAGGAATGAGCTGCTTCCCTCTTCACACACCTCACACAGGAACTGGGTGTGTGAGCAGAAGTGAGAGGGTTTGTGTATCCTTATGCATTATCTAAAGCTGTCAGGAATCTATACAGCACTGTCCAAATTAATATTTTTTGTTCCTAGTCAGAACAAATGGTCAAAAGAACTCATGAATTAGAAATTAAAAAGAAACACATTGCGAATACTGAAACGTATGGTTCAATAACTCTAGAACATTTTTTTCACTCTTGAGATACCAAATTTGAAGAAGGCAAAATGTATTACTTTGATAGTGTTAACATAGAATGTAATATAAACACAACTAGTGTGAACATAGTATTGAATAATTTTAAGGAAATTTAAATAAATATGAAATGAAAACGATGAAGTTGAAGCAAGGCATTTTTGCCATATAGAATAAAAAGTTTCAGGACTACTGAACTTCAAACATGAAAGCTGGAAAAGAGAAAGGCTGAATCATAAGGTAGTGCAAATACGTAAAATTAGTAAGAGACACTGGTAATCTGTTGTTTGTGTACACTGACAGTTAAACAAGAAGATAGCTAATTAGCAGCTAGGATTTGGGTTAATTATTAGAAAGATGTCTTTCCAAACCACTAGGTAAGCAGGTAGAGCAGCTCTCTCCAAAGCTTGTTTAAGCAAGGTTGTGAAATTTCTTTCACAAGGAGCTTTAATAACAGCCTAGACAAATAGCAGTCAGGCAGTGGTCTGGGTACATTTGCTCCTGCTGCAGGGAAGCGGGCCAGGCTAGGTCTTTGTGGTCCCTCCCAGCTGTATTTTCCTTTGATGCTTTGGGATGTGTTTCAGTGCTGGCTTTGGTTTTCCCAAGAGCCAGAGTTTCTGAATGCTGACAAAAGCAGCTTCTTGGAGGAGGCTGGTGAGAGAAAACTGAAAAGAAAAAGGGCTTAAATAACATTTTTTTTTAAAAAAGACTCAGTTAGCTCTCCTCTCCCAGACTAAGGAAGCAAAAAGATATATACCCTTAGCTATAGGACTTAATCATTTGGGTTGGTATTGTACTGTTTGCGTAGGTTTGGCTTATTCAGGACCACAACCTGTTTTCTCCTTTATAAATGGGATAGCTGGTCATTGCAGCGCTCTGGATCCCTGCTGGAAATAATTCCTCATCGTTGTTCATTTTTGTAAAGACTGGATGAAAGTTTGTTTTCTTGGCATATCGCTCATGCATAGGGCCCAGAATCTCCAGCATGGGATGGGACAGGCTGCAGCCATAGGCATCCTCTACCAGCAACTTCCTCAGTCATACAGTACAATCTTGTTTTACTACCTATAAATTTTCCCCTTTTCCCTCAGAACTAATGTCCTTCATTGAGAAATAAGCTTGAGGTAAAAACTAGAGGGAGAACAAACGGCAAGCAGAGCTGGGCTGCCACAGAGGCAGGGAAAACCACTGAGTGCCAGAAGCCTTTAATTTCAATAGACCAAAATACATTGTTTGAGCAGTGTCAAAGTATAGAACACTCTGGATTATAATCTGTTTGAGGTTATATTCCACTCTTTGTGCAGGAAGAACGAATTTGTGTACAGCTGGATTCTTAGAGATCAGCAGTGGTAGGGGACAGATAACCTTATGGAGAAGGCGGGTCAGACCTGTGTGTTGGCAAGTATCATGCACACTGCCATATATGAAAAGACAAAGAATAAGGGAGTAATGCCTTTTTTCAATAGTAGGTTAAAAGGCAGGATGGCAGTAAACCACTACTCAAAGGAAAGGTTGCTCCCCAGTATTTGGGGGAGAGAGTAAACTCTAGAGTGTTCATTGCCTGGAGTTGCCAGTCACTTTTGGACAGTGGATTTAGTTCTTTGAAACTTCAGAGACTTTCAAACCTGTTCAAATTCTGCGAAAGTCTCAAATATTTAACAAGCAAGGTATGCAGAACCAGGGCCTGAAGAGAAGCATATTCTCACAGGGAAACAGAGAAGGCAATTGAGTGATCATACTTCAAAAGAAAGACTGCTCAAATCCATATAAAGCAAAATTTAAAGAGCTGATTTCAGCATCGATCTTTTATTTGGAAATCTTTTATACTTAGAAATAGTCGTGCCCACATTACTCAAAACCCAATAAATTTTGAGTTTGGTTGATGTCACTGAAATGTTTTGTTTTCTGACTTATGGGTAAAGTGTCTTTTTGATTACATTGAACACCGTGTTTCACTGCAGGGGCACTGATTTTCAGATTAAAATCTGAACCTATTAAATTACAAGCCATGATTACATCCAGCTGAAACTCAGGTCCCGACACTCATAATATTATATAAATTAGGATCATGAAGAATATTATGGCCTTGAAGCTATAAAAGACTGCAAATTTGCAGACATAGTTTAAAATGCTTTAAGAGAACCTAGGTCTAATACTTAGAATTCAATACAGGAAATAGTTTATGATGATCATTAGAAATAAACTGAGAATATGAGCAGTAATGTAGCATGTCATAAAGAGTGTAGGTCAATTTAGTTTGTTAGGCTAAACAGACCTTACAGGATAAGAAAATGTTGGAGGTGCAAGCAAATATGTAGGCAAAAGCTTACAGGAAACAGTTACAGTACAAGTAGCCAATAAAAGTCAGCTTTGCCTTATAAAAATTAAAGTAGATCACATGGTCATATCTGAACACCTTATTTAGGTTTAGACACTGTATTACCAACTCAGGTAAAAAAAGAAGGCTCAGATCTCTGACTGACCCCTCTGTTCATGCAGAGGTACTCAACTGCAAAAGCCCAAACCTCTCTTAAAACTTAGTTGCTGAACTTTGATAAGTTAGGAAAGATTTGCCCCAATAGGTAATTTGGCAATCAAATTATTCAAATTAGTAATTACTTTTGATTTTACATATTTACTTTTCCTTGTTCTTTGATGCTTGTTCCACTTTCCTTTTATATCCACAGTCAACATTTGAATATAGTTCCTACCTGTCACAGTAGCAATTGGATTTGCCATGTAATCTGACATACCTGTGTTGCACTGTTGTGTATTTAGCCACTGAATCTGCATTGTTAAATTGCAATACAAAAATATTGTTATCAGATACTGTAAAAGCCTTATTTCTTTGGAAGAGGTTCCTTGGAAACTGTTGTTCTGCCCCCAGCTTAATTTCTAATTTGTTGTTGAGTTTTGCCTATGCAGTGGAAACAGTCTGTGCAGAAAATACCAAAACATTGCTGGAAGCCCTAAGTTTCAAGGCAAAAATCAAAGTATTTTGACGGAAAATTCTGTGCCATTCACCACATGAAGATGACAAGATAACAGATTGTCTTCTCCAAGACTGACTCACCACAGAGAAGTTCATTCCCAGTTTAGGTACAGTAATCACCATCTGAGGAAAGCACACTGAGTTCAAGTTGATTCCCTGAGCTGTGATTGTACTTCCACCACTAGGAAAAATTAAAAAAAAAAAAAAAAAAAAAGATGAGTAGGATAATGATACATCTGCTATGATAATCTTAATTACAAATTATATTTTAAAGTAAATGACAACATAAAACCAGAATTAGGGATATATGGGTTGAATGCAAATACATAGCTCTGAGCAGTGAGATTATTTTTCTGGGAAACAAATTTTACATTTGCTGTAACAACTCATCAAATACAAGAAAAGAAAAATAATTTTTAAAATTGTGGTATGACAGGATATAAAAGAAATACATTCTAAAGGAGGGTGTAAACTTGCACTTAGCATTTGCTACCTTACTTAGCTTCCTGCTTTCAGTGGTGCTGAAAAAGGTGTCTTTTTTACTGTTGACATTTTTTTGGCAAAGGCAGATGGCTTGGATTAGAGCTACTGAGACCATAAATATATCGCTTAAAAGCACACACATACTACCATACATATATATTCATAATATTTATGTAGCGCTGGATTTAGACTATTTTAAAATCCATTTGCTCTCCTGAGTACCGCTGACTTGTCACATTAAATGATTTTCCTCACTAATCAGTGTAATGTCCAGACGCAGCATAGGAGACACACTTAGCTGTACAGTAGGTATCTCAGCAGGACATCACAGGTACGTTCAGCAGCAGCTAGGAGTTAAATCACATAAAGAAAAGATGTGCCCTTCCCCCTTCTCCTTCACCTCTGAAAGGAAATGATCTGTCCTCTGCAACTGCACCATAATGGAAGCAATTGGCGTGGTAGATAGAGATAAAAACGCAATTTCTTTTGATAGATTGCTGCGCAGCACAGCCATTCTTCTTTCATTCATTACTTTTCTTATTTCTCTAAGAAACTTTTACTCACCTAAGAAAAGATTTGGCTGGATGAATTTTTAAAACAACGGGATCTTCTCTGTATGTGAAATGACTGTTTGCATCTCGAATAGCTTCATCGATTCCCACCCTCACACGATGTTCCTGGGGAATTCGTTGTGCTGGAGTGTAGCACTCCACAGTGCTCGCTGATACGCTGGAAGGACAGATAAAGGCTTGCTTGTCAGCATTGTAAAACATCTACTCAGTTTAAAACACTGTCCTTTAGTGAGCCCCAACCATACCAAAGGATCTGCTTGTAAAAAAATGCCGTTGATTCCCACACTGGATGATCACATTGCAACAAATAAGCATGGCGTGAGGTAGAAACAGCAACACCACTGCTTAGGCTCAAGATTCACCTTCATTTGCTTGACTTTCACCTTGCCTGCTGGAAGATGTTTCCCCAGTGCTGGTGACAGCCACGTCAGCTCCTGCACCCTGCAAAGGCAGCTTCCAGCCTGGAAAATGACAGCACACTCCAGGTTTAAGGAGAATGACTTGTTCTGCTGTAACCAAGGGATAACATCTTTCTCTTTCCAATCCACAGGATTTACCCTGTGTTAAAAACCTCAAGAAAAGGTGCTGGTGGGGGATGTACCAGTATCAGAGATGTCAGAGATGTCCTGCCCTGGGGGCACGTGCTGACTCCGGGTGCTGCTGAAGGGCAGGCAGTGTGTGGGCAAGGAGAAAGGAAGAGAAAGTGAAAATTTGGGAAGAGCTGGCTGAATTCAGCGCAGCAGCAGAGTCTCTGGGATATTTGCCCTTCCTTGGTCTCTCATGCTTGGCCCTGGAAGTCCTCCTCCTATACTGAGCTCAGAGGATCCTGAAGCTTGAAGCACATGAAGTGTGGACACAGAGACCAGAGCACATCAGGGGCAAAGGTAACAAGCGATTGGAGAAGCAAATGTAAGTCTACCAACTGGTTTCAGTAATTTGGGCCCAAACAGATCCAGGACCCCTCCAAGTGAGGCCATTCTCAAAGGATGTGAGAGACTGTCTCCAAATTAGACAAAAGGGGCATTTGCTGCCACCGCTGAAGCTTTCCAGGAAGGTGGAGCTCACCATGTGCTGTAGGGGTTAGTGATCTGCTCATATGTATCTGAAAGCTTTTTACCATCTTTTAAAGGAACCCCCCCCCCCTTGATCTAGCTGCCCTCAGAACTGGAGAAAGCTTCCAGTTTAGGTAGAGAAATACTTGCCCTGAGAAACTGGCTAAGACCTGTGTAGAAGTCTCCAGACAACTTGGCTGGTGAGAAAGAGGGGTACTGGGGATGCTTACGGGATAAGCCCCAGCTATGGTTTGATATCTACAGGTCCACCTGACCAGAGCAGATGTCTGCCTCTGAGCTGGCTGTCATCTCACCCCCACAGTAGAGGTCTCAAATGGATCAGATGAATCATTCCCAAAAGGTTTATATTTGTCCATTAGTTGACCAGCTGAGATGATGACATCAATAAATGCCACCCTAAACTATTAAGTAGCCACTGAACAGAAGTGCTGAAGATCTTGGTAGTGATTTATCAGACTTGAATACTTAAATCCCTTTCTTGATTTAGTCAGACTTAGGTGAAGAGCATACAATAAATCATTTAGCAGCAAAGAATAAAATTTAGCTCTCCTGACTGAGTCTGACGCTAACTAATAGGCTTTTGCTTCTCCACTTTCTCCGCAAGTGTGGTGTTTCACCATTATGACTTTCCATCATTATTAGGAGAGGCTCAATATTTAGAGGAATTGCTGGACATCCTGTTCCTAGAACACAGTGGGTCAGGTTCTGCCCTTGGCCACAGAGGTGACAGTTCTGGAGCCACCCTGCTGCACCTGAAAACACAGCCAAGCGGGATTTGTGCCATGGTACAATGGCTACCAAATTCAGAACACTTGTCTGCCCAGAGCAGAGAATCTTTGCTTGGTATTTAACATTTATATTCACCTGGAATTGAAGGCATTCGCACACAAAGCATGTCAAAGATTCTTGACTGAGCTCTTACTGGATCCAGTACAGAGCTACAAGAAATTCTGGCTTAATCCTCAAAACAATTTTATATATATCAGGAAAATTCCTAAACTGATACTACCGCTGATTTGCAGGCTGTTCATTGACAGTAGCGCAGAAACAGCTGCTCCTCTGCATGGGATACACATTCCAACACTGGTCAGGTTTGTACCAGTAGGAAATGGTAACCTGGACCCACTGGATGCTCACTGGGAGCTGCTGGATGAACAGCAGTTCTTGCTAATACAGGAAAGAAGGTTGAGTGTATGGGAGTCAGAGTGACAAAAATGATGGGAAATGGGCAGTTCCTAGTCCATTAGAAGCTAGTATACTACTTCTCTGTGCAACCTTTTAATGAGGTTAATGAAGTCGTTACAGAATAAACAAGTCTTCTAGGGAACTGTAGTCCCTTCTAGGAGCCTTTCAGACATCCTAAACTGAGGATGTAATCCAGAACTGCATGTGCATTGCGGTATCAATTCTCTGATATGTATAACTCGATGAGAGGAGAGCAATGCACATTTGCCTTTTTTTTTACTCCAAGCCATATTAATCAAGCCATTTCAATCAAACGATTTCAATATTAAAGGCATCACTTTTTATTAAGTACATTACCTTTTCAAGGTGCATGGTTTCTCACCAACAAAAATCTTTCTGGATTTTCCACTGTTTAGGTATTTTCCAGCTATAGTTAGCAATGTTCCTCCAGATTTGGGACCATAGGTGGGAGAGATGCTTGTTATTACAGGATTCTGAGGGGATGTAAAAATAAGAATAGTGGATTCCTAAATTATTTTCAAAATGTGAAGAGGAAGAATCTTAAAACACTTATTAGCATTGCCATGAAGTAATGATAAAACAATCAGGAATATAGAATTACTATACTGGATTGGTCCTATGGGGAGCCTCCAGTTAATACTGAAGCTAATTTTGATGATAAAGTTTTAATCATAGTGCTTACCACATATGAAAATGTACTGAATAGTGTTTTGCCATGTCCAACAGAAACGCTACTGGATATATTAAAACTTGGATTTTTTGCAGCAGGAACTGTGCATTCCAGCCTTTAGAAAACAAGGAAAAAGATGAGATTATGTTTTTTTTCTGGCTTGATTTTTTGTATTAAAATAGAATCGCTTCAAATTAATAATAAAGGAGGATCCATACTAAACAAATCATCAATCTATGTGTGTCAGGGACATTTCAGAAATAACAGCTAAAAGAACTGTGGTCATCTTCTTCAATACTAAATACAAACACTGTGATGTTTATACTTGGCCAGAGAAAATAATTTTAGCATATCAGATACACCTCAAAAAAAGAAGCATGCTAGAGAAAATGAATACCTCCTTCAATGGCTGAGTTGGTTTTTGGAATTCTCCTTTAGTGCCAAATTTTGACAGACAACAGGATTAGAAAAAATGCATCATATACACGAGTTTGTTGTATAAATTTAAATATTACGAAAAATTAAACTTGAACTTCTGTGGCAGCATGTGTCAATATATTACATTACATTTACACAGTCTCCTGTATGAGCTAGTCTCCTTAAAGAATTTTGTTTGCATTAAGACTGTTCAGACTAGCAGTTAGGAGGGTGCTCAAGACTTCCGGAGGGTGATCTTTTTGCTGCTATATATATATGAATAGGGAAGCTGTGCCATGATTTGCACGTTGCTTTGGTAGTAGGTAGCCCTATGCTTTGAAGTGACAGAGGATGTTCATCGAACTTCCTATTTCTTCAAGATAACAACCGGAATAGCCCATGTCTTGCGCTATTATCCACTGCCTCAAATACTCATTTCTGAGGAGGAGGAGGAGAGGTGCAGCTGAGGGTCATAAGCCTCTGGATGACGAGATACCTGCATCTTCTCACATTTCTCTCCAGCAGTTTCACAGATCAGGAAGACAGAGGTGACACAACCTAGCCCAGCAGGATCCTGGCCAAAGGAAGCCGCCCCCTTTTCAAACCTTTGAATAGTTTTGATCTTGCCAGTTCCTACAGATGTTGAACAGCATTTTGCAGACAATCCAGAAAAAGCTGCTGCAGGAGCTATTGGCATTAACTAGATTTATTTCATCTCCACTTTGAGGACTTTTTTCTCGGAGAGCTTATCAAACAAAGAGATTGTTTACTGTTTGAAATTTCAGAATCAGAGATGACACTTACAGACTCAATGTTTATATCATAAAAAAATCCATGCCACATACAGAACATCTGTATAAAAGGAAATTCATATTTTAGGTTTCTAACCTGTTTTTGTGGCTGGATTTTGCTTCCAGGGCACAAATTTGTCCTCCAATATGGACTACTGTATTTTTTAATTCAAATCTGTTATTTTTGCTGAATCCAAAGTCCCATCCACACAGTGTCAGTTTTGTCCCGCCTTCTAAGGGAGCGCTGCTTGGGAGAATCTGTTAAAAAAATATTGTGTTAGTTACGTCAGGTTTTCTTGAACTTCAAATGGAGTTAAAGAATGTGCAAAGGAATAATTTTAGAAAAGCATTTCTTCTAGTAGACTATGTCCTACCATTCATCTTAATTGTTCTTCACCTTTCATTTGTCACATTATGAGCTTTCTCTGGCAGTAGCAATAAATAACAAAACCTATACTAGAAAGCTTTGAAGGATAGTGTTTAGGGGCACTGAACAAGCTGTGCATTGTAATAGTCTTTTAAATCCTACTGTTCTTGTCTTTCACATCTTATTTCTGGCATGTTAAACATACAATGTACTTATTTTGTTAGAAGCTGAATGCTGAACACAAAAGAGACCCAAAATGACCATTTTTTGTCAGCTTGATGAAAGTCAGGTTCAGAGTGAAGTAGCTTCAAAGACACCATAATCCGATATCGCGTTGGCTGTAATAAAGTTAACGTGACTTCTGCTATTCTTTCCTTAAATCTTTTACATTTGGTCACCTCTAATTCCGAGTTAAAAATAAACTACCCCTCAGAAACACAGAGACAATCTACAAAGGAAATGCTTTTTTTTTTTCTGTATATTGTAAATTGTCCTGTAAAATATAACAATGGTGGGAAAAATGTAGGAACACTATAGAAGTCACAAAACTCGGTAAAAGTACTGGTCAGTACTACCAGTAAAAAAAAATAATCAAGAAGGCATTGGTTCAGGGTTCATGGGGGCTTTTAACAATACTGCATAATTTTGCAAACATACCAGTACCACTGGACAAACAACAGAGAATGAAAGACTGAATTTATACTTGTGGTCATAATGCTTAAATGTCTTAAACTTAATGCTTTAGTGACAGTAATTTTGCCCCTAAAAATGCAATACAGCTGTGCCTTTCAAAGGACCCGACTTAATTTTCAAGCTGAAAGGAAAGTGCTTGAGAGATACTTGGCTATTATTTCATCTGGAAATCCAGTAAGACAGCACATTTCTTTTCAACTCTCTCATAGCTATACTTCAAGACTCTCACAAATGAACTATTGTAGATAGAAAGGCAGCTGAAGAATACTTCAAAAGAATTATACCATATATTCTATATGGGGAAATTTACTGCCCCCATTAGAAACCAGACAAAGAGTCCCATCTAAAATGCACTGAAGCCAGTAGGAATCTTTCCTGTTTTAATGAGCTTTGAATCAGCTCTCAATGAGCAAAGAAGAGGGAACATATGCAGGAACAGTACTTTTTGCACAAATCCCATAAAAAAGGAGTGATGCTCGCCCAGCCGCCTGACACAACACTGCAGCTAAGTGCATGGAGCAGTACTGTACCCTGTGGAGCCTGTGCTATTCCCATGTTTAACTTTCCCTTATTTCTTTGTTTTTTTTCTTCAAAATCTGGACTGACTTCAGATCCTAGTGTTCCACCCTACTTAGTATCTCAGCACACTATCTATTTTTGGAGTAACAAAACCCTAGCAGAAACTGAAATGTCTCTGTGGGGGTACAGGATGTCTCGATGTTTTGTACAATAATGCACTGATGTGTGGCATTTGAGGAGTCTGAAATGTAATCCATAAGTTAGCAAAATAAAGGCATTAAAATTAGGCTTCACAAAGCCATACAAAATAAAAACCAAAGGCACTTAACTGGTTTTGAGTGATCTTATCTGCTGAAAGAGGCTTGTGATAGCAGCCCGTGTGCCTTAATTGAGGGAGAGTGAAAGCATTTACTACATACTGCCAGCAAATTTAGGAGGTAAGACCTCTAAGTAGATAGCCAAAAATAAACCACATCTTAAACTTTTGTATTTAAGTTCTGCAGAAATTCCCCCAGAGTGTTTTTATTCATGTTTCTATTTTTATTCCATTTGTTCTGTACAATGAAACCTCTGAAAGTCAAATGTGGTTTTCCAGACTCTTTCTTGAGATAGTTGACAGGAATGAATAGTGAATGTCCTGGACTTTGAACTGAGGTATATGTAGGCATCTTCTGTGTGCTTACATCGCACGGGTAGTAACAGAAAGTAAGCAAAACCCAAAGCAGTTACAAATGCTATGTAATTCAGGAGTCAGAAGTTCTCCACAGCAAGAAAACTCCACTGATAACATGGAGCAAGTCCTGCTGCAAGGCCTGCCATTCTGCTTGTCCCTGCTTCTCTCTGGACTTTGGGTTAAGGGAGAGAAAGTTAACTTCTCTTTTTCTTTTCAGAAATATTTAAAGCAATGTGTTTTCCGTTTGTTTATGTTGACAGCCATTATGCTAATTTCCACTCACATCTTTATAAATTGTTGGAAGAAAGTATCTATTTATTAAAGTTTCAATGGTGCATTCATTTTAATTAAGAGGCAAGAACATGTACAGGCCACATGTGAAATTTCCAGCAAAACCTCCAACTTCGACAGGCAGCAGAACGCCTGATGCTCTCGATATGTCTGAGACAAAAGCCGGCTAAAATGACTCACTTTAAAACCAACAACAAACTATGTCAGGTTTTTAACCACAACAAAGAATCAAAAGGGAGACCAATTTCTTCTCTACGCTGTCCACCTTTCAGCGTGACCTGAATGCTGCACGCAGATGCCTGCAATTTGTTCCAGCACCAAGCGATCTCCGAGGAGACTCCCTCGAGTCCCCCGACTTTCCTCTAGCACCGCTTGCCGAGGCTGATGAAACATTCCTCGCTGTTGGCAGAGGCGGTGGGTTGGTGTGGGGTGTGGTGCCGAGGTGTGGGGTAGGAGCCGGGCTGTGGTGGGGACGCATCCCGGTGCGAGCTCCGCTGTGCCCTCTGCAGCAGAGGGGATGCTCGGGCAGAGTTAGAGCTCTGCACTCCCCCCCGGAGCTGAGGTGTGGTCCTGCTCCCTGCCACCCAGAGCTCCAAGGAGAAGTGCTTAAAGCGGGGCAGAGAGACGAAGGATCTACAGGACTCCAAAGGAGAACGCTGGGTTTCTTCTCTGCCATCCCTCACGAGTGGAAAATCTCTTTTTTTTCCTCCCCCATTGTGGACCATTCTGTGTAATAGCGTGGGAAAACTCTGCTGAACACTTAGCTAACGTCCATTGGACCAGACCCTTGGAGAAGCTCTGTGTACCCCTCAGGTTAAAGCGATCGTATGACATATCTCAGGCAATCTGTCCCTCTGAAAGCTGCAAAATATTAGGGGAGGTGTTTGGACTGAATTTCTGATACTATTCAAAGCAGGTCATCCTCTGTTTGTGAGGAACAAAACAAGCTTGTTTCTCATATTTTATGCATATGGGTTTAAAGACAGATCAGAAGATGGTGAATAATCTGTTTTATATTTTTTTCCGTAATAATGTTAAATGTCATGGTCCGGTAGAGCATGAAATCTGACTTAACAGCTAGCAACCCAAAGGGATTGAAGTACCCAGCTGCATTTTTTTCCTTACAAGCCTTCTAGAAGGAGCTTCTACCAATGTGAGCATGTTGAAATTCGAGTTTCCCTTTAAGATCCATCAGTGCCACAGATCCGTATTCATTACAGGGGTAGACTGGGCTTGTGCTGAGCCAGCAGGGCTGAGCCACATGGGGAAGGCGAGCACCCAGCCAGCCCCACGCCTGCTCCCACCTCCCCATGTCCAGGGTGCGCTCCCCCAGATGAGTCCTCCCAGCAACTTCACAGGGACTGCAGAGGTGGCCTCAGGGACGCACCTCTTAGTCTAAGCATTTCTGCATGGGCTCCAGGTGCTTGGTTCTTAAAACTGCTGAGCGCACACACTCATAATTGAAATTAAAGAGAGCTATATGAGCTCAGCACCTCCAAAAATCAGAAACTAAGCAGTTCAGAGTCTTAAAAATCTTTGGAGGGGCATGGCAATATACAGCCACTGCTGGACAGTTTTGACAAGAAAAGAACATTAAGGGATGCTAGTGTCCTTGAGCTCTAGGAAAGACAAAGCAAACTGTGCAGGATAGGTGAGTAGCTTGGGTCTACAGAGGTATATAAAAACGTATCCAGACTGATTGTCAGTCTATCTGTTTGAATTGGTGATTCATAGTCTCATACAAACTAAGGCCAGAAAGGACTATTTGATCATCTAATACAGCCTTTTTGAAATAAATTTGTCCTGGTATAAAGGGAAAGTAAACTATTCACATTCTGCGTTAGCAATTTTTTTACATCTCCTTTGCCCAAAGGTAAATGGCAATAGAAGGCAAGGCAAACACCCCCGCCCCCTCCCTTCCCATCCATTTTGGGTTTGATTCTTATAACACCTCATTGTTTGTACACTGAGTTTTGCCTGTGTTAGTCCTAAATTTTGTATCTGAAAGGTGAACATGGAAAAGAAAGAAAACCCCAGTAAACATGTGTTTCTAGCTCTGTTTCTAGATTATTAGAAGTTTTGCCTGTCTACTCTTGAAAAAGTTTTTGTACATGAAATCATCTGCCTAGTTGAAATATATATATTATATATTTAAAAACTCCTTTTGTCTCCCTTTCTCTCTGAGAGGTTAGCACGTCAACCTTTCATCTCCGTTTACAAGTTGTATGCCCATAAAGGAAAATGTATTTTTAACTACATGGTGTAGTTTAAATGCACTAACAAAAGTAAGTGGGTATGAGCGCTACCAGAAAGGTTTATGCTTGTCCTTCCCTCAGTTTTCTAGTCCATTAACTGCCCTATAAACCCCCACCTTCACAGCTATGTCACACTTCACACGGGATGATTCGGCTGCTCATACAGCCAGCCAGTACGAATCCTGCATTAACCATATCTAAATTAAAACAGGAATGTGCCAGTGTGTCTCTCTGCTCATCCGTGTGGTTTTATTCTTGCACACCCTTGATGGGGTTTAGCCGACTGGCAGCAGCCTCTGGCTGTCTGCCGTCCCAAGGCGGTGTGCAGCTACAGGCTCATCCCCCTCCGGTGGACCCAGCGGAGCATGGAGCCAGGGACATTAGGAAGAAGCATCTCCCTGAGGGTGATGTCCTGGTTGACAGCCCTGTCGAAGAGCTTAGGTATGGGAGAGAGGGACGTTTCCCCACAGGGAAACACCACCTGTTCCTCCAATGCTGGAGCCAGCATGGAGGCGGATGAGGAGTGGGGAGCAGGGACCTCCTAACTGGGCCAGGCTGTGGCAGCTGTGGGCAGGAAGCGCTTTCCTCCACCTCCTCCCTTTGAGAGGGGTCTGAGAGGAAGGTGCCCCTTTTTGTGACTGGCCTTTCCTGTCAGACCCCTGCCGGCCTGGCTCAGACCCGTGTTGTTTCCCCACCACGAGAGCTTTGCAGGGCTGCGGCTCTCCCATGGCAAGCCAGGAGGATCAGACAGACCTGTCCACTGTGAGCCCCTGAGCCTGCAGCATCCAGGGAGAGTACGTGCAGCCAGCCAGAGGCTTTATGTACACCGAGGCCGAGGGGAAGTCGACGAGAGCAGACCCTTCATGTATCATAACTGCACAAAAATAAACAGGAAATGTCCGCAGAGTGCAGACCATGTTCTTCCCTCAGAGACAAATGCGAGAAATCCACCGTGTTACCTCATAAACCCTGGGCAAGCAGGTCTCCTGGGTCCAGGTGCCGCCGGGGCACTCGGGAGACCTGAGGCACTGGTGGCTGCACCAGCCACACTCCATGAAGGGAGGTGCCAGCAGGCACTGGCTGCAGGACCTGAAGTGATGGCAGCCCGGCCCCTTCAGCGGGATCTTCGTTATCTGTCGATGGAAAGAGATGATGCACGGATCCTTTTAATACACACACTAAGTGGCAAGGAGAGTCTCTATTTATGCAATGCGCTGTGGTGCTACTCAGATTTCAGATGTGCGAGCCGTGGTTTGACTTCTCTTTAGCTCAGTAATTATAGGATCTTATAAGTAATTTAACTGACATGATTTTAAATTCGCTTGGGAGAAACCCTAAAGGCATCTTAATGTTATATATCGTTACTACCAGCATCTGGTGTTTACAGCAAGATGGCATTTTTTGCTGATGGAAAAAGAAAACAGCAGTGTGTTCCTCCCAGTTCTGCGCTAGTTCTTGGAAAAAACAGTGCATCTCAGTATGTCTTAGTTCATACGTTTGTAAAAATAGGCACGATGGCTATTTCAGCTTTGGTGAGGCTGTATTAATACCTGTGACACACTTACAGCATGTGACTGCCCAAGTACTTGTTTTTTAACACCTATCATAAAAATCTATAATATCTATACCTAAAATATGAATTAAAATTATTTAGAATATCAGGATAGTTATGATAACAGATAACAGTCACTCTAAATATATAAGAATTATTTTTAGTCAAAATATTAAAAGTAGTATATAACTACATTACTGTATAAGTACATCATACTTCTTTATACTTCAGTACCTTAAACTTTTTTTGGACATTTTCTTGAAGATTACTCTTATAAATATCTCATACATTTCTAGTAAATGATTAATAACCATCTTTACTAATGGCTGCTATATTTCTGTAAATTCTTATAGAGCTCAAGTGGTCAATTTATTGCTTACGATTATGGTTTAGGATTATCTGTAATTTTATCTGCTGATGTTTTAAACCTATTCTACAATGCATATCTACTTATGACAATAGCATATTTACGACAGCTCTTGATCTTTTGTTAACCCTTTGTAGACCACGTGCTAAAGTAATTTTCAAACCTTACGATGAACAGACTCCCAATTTTGAACACACCCACGTAACTCTTGTACACACACCCCTCCCCTTAAAATGTTATAATGTTATGACACAAACTAACAAAAGCCAGGAAACTGTGAGCACCATTCTTTTCTTAAGCCATTGTGTGGTTTTTATTTGCAAGCACTTGAATTAAGGACAGGGTTTCAGCCTTAAAATTTGCATTTCCTGGCTTTTGTTGCTTTATATCACAGCTCTTACCTTATTTAAACATTTCTCAATATTAGGCTGTTGGTTCGTTTAGTAGGGGGAAAAAAAGTCTTGGAGGAAACTTGCCCCTCCAATGTTCCCAAGGGAATGGCAAGGCTGGGAGGATGCAGAGCATAAAGCAGTAGTGTGAATAGTTGCTCTTACTGAAAGTTGCTGCTCTGAAGGCAGGTTTACACAGTGCACAGAAGGATTAGATTATGAACCACTCACCTTTTTCCCAGTCACTACCAGGGTATAGCCATCATCTGCTAATGAATTCTCGACAACAACTTGAGGAGAGATGGGGTGGGAGTCTAGCTGAAAGCTGACATGTGGAGCTGTGGGTTCTGAACGGGAAACCACTATCTAAGAAAGAAATAAATTGGGAGAATCAGCAGTGTGTGCCACAAATGCATGCTGCTCAGAGGTCTTGTGTTCCTACCACTTCTCTGCTTGCATTAATTACTTTGCATTACATTGCATAATATTTTGCATAATGTTCCATCATGATCTGATTAAAGCGCTATAAAATCTCCTTTATTAACACAGCAAAATCATGGCTGTTGGAGGATCCTCAAAATACATAGTATTTATTAAAGTATGAAGGAGTCATTCCATGTTTTCTAGTTCTTTGACGTCAGGTATTTACAAATCAACCGTAAAAAATGAAGATGGATCATTTAGTCAGCCCTGTACATTTAAGAAAGAAGAATTTTATCTACAAAGTCTATTTAAAAGAATCTTAAAACTCCAGGCCCTCACAAGTCAAAGATATTTCCATTTATTTTCGCTTTGGTCCTTCACTTTGAAAAGTAAACTTTACCCTGTGTCAACAGTATCTGGTCTGGATGCACGTGAGGCCATTAGAGGGCAAAGCCATGGCAGGCACAGGTTGTCGCTGTGAGCAGCACTACAGAGCCACAGGTATGCAGAGCTCAACTCCCAGAGCTGGTGACGTGACTATTGCTGCAGACAAGCTCCTTGCAAGACATCGCTGAGCACTTTGAGGTCTGGTCCTGCTGATTTCTGCAGGACAGAGCACTCAAAGCACCTCTTAAACGACAGGGAGAACTGGAGGCTTCTTTGGAAGTTGCTCCAAAACAGAAGCCTAATTTAGTTGTCCTGAAGCCCCTTTGCAAGAGTTCTGTCTCTCTCTCTCTCACTTGATTTTAGGAGATCTTAGGGAGATTAGTCACACCAGTATGAAATTCCCCCACCAGTCATCTCTCTGAATCTTGAGTTACCTAAATACTTCTGAGAACTTGGACCTATTCCTGCAAACACACGCTTAACTTTACTACTGTAACTTTGTTGACTTTAATGGGATGAGTCATGGCTGTTAAGCAGAAGCATAAAGCATCTGCAGATTGGGGTGGATATTCGATAGCGAGATTTTATAGGCTTGGGCCTGCAATCCAGAAAGATGTGTGCCCAAATGTGATAGCATCAGGCAACAAAGGCAGAGGATTGTTTACATGAGGGAAGATCATGTTCATGTTTCAAAAGCTGCATCACGTGTAGTTTACTTAAGGAATTTAGATAATGAACATTTGCTGAGAAGTTGAGATTCAATGGGTTTCATTATTTAAAAAGATTGAAGCCATTCTGGAAATAACTTGTATGTCAAATGTTTAATTTTTCACTATAATGAAGCTTTTCTTCTGACTCTGAAGGCAGCATCAGAACAGCTAGGACATTGACTTACACGATTTCACTGGCTTTTCGCACTGCCAAGGTCTTTCAACAAGATGGCTGACTCCAAAACTAGGCTTAGATATGCTGTAATTACAGCTGATGTTTTGTTGTAATTCAAGACTTAAATAAAATATATGAGCAGATTATTCATGGCAATAAGTGCTTCACGTCCCAGACAGTTTGGGGTTATAAGAGGCTTTTTTTTCTTTAAAATGAAGCTGGCTTTGTTAAAGACTTTGCTATGGGTTTGTTTCACAGTGCAGAAAGTGCAGCTTTTAGAAATCAATAAGGTCTGATCATTTTTGGTGACACAGAAGTATGGTCTCTGACTCAGTGTATTAGGGCATGAGCCCTGTTTTTATATTCAGGACAATGAAAAATAGAATGGACTGCAAAGCTGCATGAAAAAGCTTGATTAATGTTGGCATTATGGGGAGAGGTAGCACCACAGCTGCAAATACCTTTTTAGTTGATCATTAGCCGTGTCTCATCTCGAATACCCACTGCTATAAAATGCTAAGAATTCTTTTCTATCATTAATCCAGGCTTCCTTTTATTGCCAAGCATTCTTTCTGATTGAGCCACACTGTTAACCCTTTAAACATATCTGCATTGCAACCTCAGGACAATACATGAAAATTTGGATCTCATCTCTACAATCTTGGAAAAATTATCTGGTACTTTAAACACTGACCGACCTTTATTTTACTGAGGCTGATAGTCAAATCACCTGCTCAAAACCCAAGTGAACAGACTTTGACCTCATGACATATAGGGAGCTCAAATAACACTTCCTAACTCATTTGGGACTACGGAATAAAAGTTTGGAGTTTGCTTAGAACTAATCTACCAGCCTACAGGGCTGCTGTAACAGATACTAGATGCAAAAATGCTCTTTCTGGTCTATATAACTGTGCGGTTTTTGCACGCATCAGCCCAGTCCTTGAAATTCTATCTTACCCTTATCCAACATAATCCTGAAGAAAAAGGCATTTTGATGACAGCTTCTACAGCAGGAAGAAGAGGCTACTTAGGACTCCAGTGTCATTCTCAGAAACCTCTGATTTTTATTGCTTGGGACTGGGCTGGTATGCGTACAGCGTGGCTTTAATCTACCATGGACACACCACCATACAGGAGCTACTTCTACTGTGGAAATGGTTCAGTACTACAGGATTTCTTTTTACAAAGACTATAAAGTGCTGGTTTAGTTTTTTGGGGCTTTTTTTGTGGGAGTGGTGTTGGTTTTTTTTTACCTTTTAATAATTAATTTAATAAGCAAGCATTTCTGCAGAGCATAAGAGAAATGTGCCTGCACTCAAGCAGTTAGGAGAAAGGGAAGGTCTTGCACAGAAAAATAATTGACTAAAAGAGAACAAACAGGCTTTAGCAGTAAATGGTCAGTCCTTGCAATAGAGAGAAGTCACCAGAAGTGTTCTGCAAGGTGTCTGTGCTGGGATCCATACTGTCCAACATACCCATAAATGAGCTGGAAAAGTGGTTGAGCAGTCCAGTGACAAAGTTTTCTGATGATCTGAAGGTATTCAAGGTGATAAGGATGAGGACAGGCTATGAAGGATGGCAGAAGGACTTTACAAGACAGCATGTCAAGGCAATAAAATGGCAGGTGAAATACAATAAAGAAGATGAATGTAAAGCAGTCTATGATAGATAGTTCCATGAAAACATCATCTCACTGCTCAGCAGCAGTCAAAAAAACAAAATAAAAGCTTAAGAATTATTAGAAAAGGATTAGAGAACAAACTAGAAAATGTCCTGATGTCTTACAAATTCATGGCTTGCCCAAACCTTGAATTCTCTGTGTAGTTCTGTTTGCCTCATGTCAAAAAGAGTGTGTTAAAATGGCAAAAGGTTCAGAGAAGGGTAACAAAGATGGTAAAAAGGCTGTAATGAACGAAGACTGGGTAGGGTAGGTGTGGAAACGCTATGAAAAAGGCATACAGAATCATGAGTGGGTAAAGACCGACCATTTACTCTCTTCCAATAAAAGTACTAAACACCATCAAAAGTGAGAGTCAGGTTCAAAGCAAACGTAAGAATAAGACTTCCTAGCAATATGCAATGACCTACGGGACTCCTTGGAGAAGAATGTGCATGCAAAAGGAATACACATTCAAAGGGAAACTCCACATGTACATGGAAGGAGCTAAACAGACAAAACCCAATAGCTCAGGAAATCACCAGAATGGAAAATAGTTGGGAGTCTTGAAGCAGAATGTATTACATATTTTGCCTGGGTCCCTTGGCATACACTTGTCACCACTGCTGGAGACTGAGCACTGAACTAGACGGACACTTTGTTTAAACCCATGTGGCTCTTCTGATGTTCTTACAAATAACGCTTCTGTATCTATCTGATGTTCACTATCAGTAACTACAAACTCAGACGTCCTTCTCAAAGCAAACACAATATTTATGTCCCTCTATTTAAGAGAAAACTACACAAGTATGTGGTCTTTCAGCATAGCTTCCATAAAGATGACAGCCAACAGTTAATTAATTAATTTATTAATTAATATAATCTTTATACTGGAAGTCAGCTATCGCTTAATCTATGAACATTAAAATAATTAATTTAAATATTCTTTCGTTGCCATCAGCTAGTATTAATGTTAAGTAAGAAGACTTGACTCTAGATTCATTTATGCATAATATGGCAAATTCAGAGTTTAATAACTTGAGTTGAAAACCAGCATGCAACAGCTTCTTCTAAAAATCATTCTGAAGCTCAGTTCTGCTAGTCAGCAGGATTGAATTACAAATGTTAGTGTCTACATGTTGAAATATCTTCTGCAAAAATGAGAAGCCTTCTAAAAGCAATCTCATCTAAGTATCATATTGTTATTTTTCCCCTAGATGTCTGGCAGGTGTAGGCCATTATCCAGCAGAGATAGGCTCAGGGTTAACTTTATTGTGTAATGCCTCAAATGCCCTGGGATATGCAGCATAGCCTTGCAAAGGGCACATATGTAGCTCTCTAAATGCTGTATATCATTCTAATCCATGGAGAGTATAATGGATCTCCTCTGAAGAGTGCAAGCTTTTCTACTCAAACTGAATATTAAAACACGTGTGCTCTCAAAACAGTTATTTGGCACCAGGTGTAAGTTTTGGCTATATGGATTTAACATTCTGCAATACTTGGTATTTTTTTCTGAGAGCATCAAGATACATTCTTTACCACCCAAAGAACCGCTATTATAAAACTGTTAAAAGTTGAGCTATTTAGATGAAAATGTTACTTATCAAGAGTTTGCAACAGTTTTCTGCAGGTTTAAAATCTATAAAGTGGGAAGGATTGCAACTATTTACATTCCTACAAATGCACATGTGCACAGTTTGCGATTAGCCTTAAATAGGTCAGACTGCCAGTATTGGAAAGCCAGGTGAATTGCTAGACCACAGAGGCAAGACAGCAGCAGACCCCGAGGTCAACTTTTGCAATGACTCCATGGGCATCCCATGTTTCCTTCCTCCTTCTGGCTCTGAAAGGTTTTAGATCCATGCTCATGTATTTCTTGACCTCCTCGCACTTGCCACCTGTACTGGTGGGTTTTGTTACAATCACATTTGTCTAGTGGGGCAGGAACTAGATCAAAAGAAGGTTGATCAATTCAAAGGTGGAAATGGCTTCCAGTATACTATGGTAT